AAAATAATCTTCTTTCTTCTGTTTATCCCATTGCACCATCAGATCTTTTTCCACCATGGACTTTGTTCTGTTGCTCTTCATACTCTCACCAGCTGTATGTAAAAAGATTTGGCTGATGTCTCCCGAGGATCTGCAGTAGTCTAGTTTCCTCTCGGGCCACATTAATTTAAAGTATTCTACAAGGTTGTTTTGGAGTTTTTGCCAATCACACCAAAAATATTACTGCCTACCCCGACTTTAAGTTTTGTTGTGACTGTTTTACTGCCCAGAGGGTAGTTTCGGCATCTCATGTGGTGGCACTTGCAGCATTAAATGTCTCTGGAAGGTTTCTTAAGCAGTGCTTAAAAAATTTTCAAAAAATTTCAAAAATGTATAAAACTGCAAACACATTTACATGCAGTTAATGGGTGACAACAATCGGGAACAGCTTTTACAAACGATGAACTGACAAAAACACTGACTAATTTGCAGAAGCTGTTACCTGCTGTGGAAATGCAAATCGTCCAGCACTGGAAAAACTTACCACTGAGGCGAAACTTCCTGGATGTTGGCTGTTGAGGAATTCTAATTATTTGGTGGAAAGGCACCTTTAGTCAGTTCAGATGTTGTCTTGCGGGGACTCGGAGGTCAAACATCTCACCAAATTCAGTTTACATTTACTGATGCAGATGAGTTAAAGACTAAAGGATACCATGCATGTGTTGGTTCAGTAGGTTTTTATGGGTGTTACATCCAGCTGATGATGCACTTCTGGTCCACTGATGGAGGCACTTACGACCAACAATTATGACTTGATGATTGTGATAATTTGGCTGAACTTGAGTCAGTCCTCCTTGGCCCTTCAGACTCGTATGTCATGTTTCGAAGCACCAGTGTTGTTCTTACATTCTGCAGGTTGAACAGATGAAGGTCAGCAGCAGTGAAGTGAACATTAAAGCTGAGGCTGAAGCTGAGTTTGGCCGTTTATTTTTGCTTCATATGCAGTTTATAGAGGAATCACAACGCGCACCGCTACCAGAGATCCTTCTGCAACATTTGGATTTATTACACTGGATACTGGAGTGGAACATGTTTGTGCTTTTCTGTAAATAAAAACAACTTTGTCATTCTCTAATTTTCTGTATTTTGTTTTCTCTGTGATGTAGAGGTAAATACTGATGTTAACAAAGTGTACAAATGTAGTCAGTTCCACTTTGAGAAGCATTAATTTGTGTTTTCCATCCATCTTTATGTAACTTGGATCACATCATGATTCCCATCACTAAGACAGAGGAGAAAAGCTTCATTTTTCAGGTAAGATTGTAAATGATATTGTTTTTTCCCACTAGATGGAGTTGCACTTTCTGCAGTCACAGTTTTTTTCCCCCTGTAATTCATCTATATACACATTGCAGCATTCATAGTGTAATAGTTTCTCATGTAAATGTAATAGAATCACAGTTAATGGTTTAAATAGAAGAGGCCATTTGTACCATTCAATCTCTGAGCAATATTCTTTGAAAAACATGTTCTTTCCTGGTTTGTTTTACAGTTAATCTCCTTAAATATGAATTATACATCTCTTTAATCTCTATATCTGCTGGTTCCAATATTTCTTTTCCACAAGTGTGTCTAATTCTAGGCTGATGCATAAAAGTAATACGTTTTATTTAAGGCTAGAGTTTCCATATATAACAAGGTCAATGACCCAGTTCTATTACCTTGCAGGGTGGGGTTTTCTATATCATTTTTTTTGTTCTTCAGAATCAGTTTCCAGTTTGAAAAGATGAAATTCTTCCACTTTTACATCTTGCTGTTGTGTTTTTCAGTGTTTGAGCAGAGTTGTAGGTGAGCTGGTGTGCTCAAGCTGCCACAACAGTTATATCTAAGCCATTATAAGGCATGACACGATTATTTTTATTTAATAAAACTGTGATCCTTTGAAGGGCTCTCATTGACGACCTCATTGAATATAAAGTAGTTATAACTGTTCAGGGCTGCCTGCACATTTAAGTGTATTTTACTTTCACTGATGATACTTGAGGTTTATTTTACTGATGAAACTTCTGTCCTTGTGGGAAATTGTATTAAATGAAGATGTGACAACAGGTGAAGAGGTACATTTTTCTCTCTGTCCATGTTCATGGACTTTGTGAAGAACAAACACAAGGAAGACGGAAATGTACTGATCGCACACACGCACACAGACACACAGACACACACACACACACACACGCACACACACACTTTGCCCTCAGGAATGTGGATTATATCAATGAGGTTAATAACAAAGCTAAAGAGACAGATTCAAGGTCATGAAGCGCTTTGACTTGTTTGCATTTAGATGTTATATATTTTTTCTCATAATTTAGCTCATTTGAAAACAGCTTTAACTTGGCATCACTTTTGCTTTAATCAGCACCTACATCTAAACTATGTACTGTAACTTCATCCAGTTACACTTTAACTCCTTTCAACAATTACATTTTTATGCTGCTTCAACAACTTTCACTAATTCTATTTCCTTTGTTTTCCTGTTTTTTCTTTCATATATTTATCCTTGACTTCAGATGCTATTGCCAAGTCATATAAAAGTCTCTTTAACTCCTTCTATCTTCAGTCACATTAAACTGAGTCACACCAAGTTTATTAGTGTTGGCACCAACAGAGTTCATAATGTCCTTCAGAGAACTACTGGAAGCTGTAAATCTGGGTGTGTGTTTAAAGCAACAACAACCACAAACAACGTGAAGTGTTCGGGGCTGGTGTTCTCACCTGCGGACAGGTAGAGGAGGCGGGGGGGATAAAAGCCAACCCACATGCAGATGAGAGTTTATAACCCGGCTTTGTCTCTCATCTCTGCTCTAACCTGAATACCACTGTGCCAAAGTTCAGAGCTCACAACTCGGGACAATAGCAGAAACAAGACACTGAACTAGATGTTCTCGGGCAGCTTCGTCTTACAGATTCTGTTTGTGATCCTGAGACAAGTGAACATCTGAGACTATTCAGCGAAGCAGCACAACAGGATGTGAGTATAACGCAGATTTATTAAGCGATCAATGATTATTTAAAGTTACGATGCGTGTTCTCCACTTCTGCAATGGTTTACTACAAGGTTAACTTTCAACTTTGTCGAACAGATCTCTGTAATGGCAGTAAGCTACAGCATGTGGACAATGTAGGGTTTTTGTGAAACATTTTATTCATTGAATCTGTAATCTTTTCACATTATTGTGTCAAAACCTTTGGGATACATAGAAATGTTGTCTAACTTTAAGTGAATTTACCAAAGTTTTTTAAAAAATGTTTTAGATTTACAGTGATAACTGAATAAATTTACTCATTTTTCGTTCTGCACATAGTTTCACTGCAGTATTTCCAATTGGGGAGAATTTGAATGCAACTCACAGCTAGTTTTTAACATTAAACTGTGTCCACGTCATAAATAAACAGTTTTATTAGTCCTAATGGTTGATTATGTAATGTTCACATTGACAAATATTACAGAAGGGGTTCAAAGGCTTTTTCTAGTCTGTATAATAACATCTACAACTTTGAGAATTTTGTTTTGTTGTTGTTGCTGTTTTTCATGTAACAACGATATGATGCATTTCTGTACATAAAACTCACCTACTGTATGAAAACAGCAGTCAGAGCAGGTTTTACCTAAACTTAACTCTCAAATTTACAAATCTTTACACCCTTAAAAGAACCAGTTTTCACATTATGTGTACATTTAACTTCTAATACAGCATCTACTGAAGGGGTTCTCCAGGGTGATATTACTTCTTTTCTTCACCACGTCTTCCAGCACTGTCTCGACAGCAAACCGCATCCTGTAGAGAAATGAAACTTGGCTAAAATTTGAAATTTGTGCTGTGATTTCTCTCCCTGCACTGCAGCCCCTGTTATCTCTGATGTCGGTATCTAAACATACAGAGTTAGACATGTTCACTGTGTTCAGTTTACTAACTCAAGAAATGTTGTAATCTAGTGTGTAAATAGATATTGGAATGTTTGTTGGTAGATTACCAGTACTATACAGAAATTACCAGTAAAAAGTTTGGACATACCTACTTATTCAAGGGTTTATTATTTACTGCTTGCTTTGTTCTACAGTGTTGAAAAAAAATCATTTTCCTTTGCAGCAGACTCGGTCGTCCTCAGTTTCACCTCAGTGTTTGATTTTATTTTTTTATTTTATTTTTTTTGTGACTGCATTTGAAGAAACTTTCAAAGTTTTAGTAACTTTTCTGACTGACTAACCTTCATTTCCTAAAATAATGATGAACTGAAGTTTGTCTTTACTAGGTTTTTTTTTTTTCTTTTCCCATAATATAGTTTACTAGAGTAGTCAAACAAGGCTACTTGCTGCTTAACAAAACCACCATAACACAATTGTCAGTTTCAAACCCACATCTATCAGTTAACTTTAGGCAACGCTCACCTGTTACCTAAAAACCACCTCGACTGATTTCATGAGGCTGTTCCAGATATAGCCAGTAGTGTAACAAAGTCTACTATCAGAATCTAAAATATATATTTACTTTTATTTAAAACATCATCAGAGCTGCAAAGGTTATCCGATTAGTTGTCAGCCATTAAATTAATCGTCTACTATTACTACTCGTCTATTGATTAATCGGTTTGGGTATTTTTTGGGGGGGACGTCAACATTATCTGATTCCAGCTTCTTGAAATTGAAAATGTTCTGGTTTGTTTCCTCTTCTATGACAGTAAACTGAATATTTTTGGTCTGTGGACAAAACAAGGCATTTGTCATTGTGGGTTTTTGGAAACACTGATCGACATTTTTAACCATTTTCTTACTTTTTCAGTCAGTTTTAAACATTTGAGGTCATCATGTTGGGCTTTGGGTAAAACAATCAATATTTTTCACCATTTTCCAACAATTTTAAACCAACAATAACTGATTAACTAAGAAAATAATCTACAAATTAACTGACAAATGGAAATAATCATTGGTTGCAGCCTTATACATGATTCCATATGAGTTGTTTCATAGTTTGATGTCTTACATTTTGTAAAACTCGAATGAGAAGGTGTGTGTTCCCCCTTTTGACTGTGGATCCGGGTGAGATACTAATCATATCTTTTTTCTTTTGTTTTGTCAGCTCGTCTGTTGGCTATATCAAACTAAAACCTGACTTCTGAAAATCAGTTTTAATTGAGTGAAGCAACATGGCCAACAAGAAGTCAGAGGTCCAGAGGAGGATTGTGTCCAAGGATGGCCACAACAACGTGCGGATCGACAACGTGGAGGGAATGGTCAAACTGTACCTGCACGACATCTGGACCACCGTGGTGGACATGAAGTGGCGTTACAAACTCACTCTGTTCGCCTCCACCTTCGTCATGACCTGGTTCATCTTTGGGGTCTTCTTCTACTTCATTGGGATGGGCAACGGAGACTACGAGGACGGTCTGAGCTCCAACCACACACTCTGCGTCACCAACGTTCAGACACTCACCGGAGCCTTCCTGTTCTCTCTGGAGTCTCAGACCACCATTGGTTACGGTTTCCGTTACATCTCAGAGGAGTGTCCTCTGGCTATCTTCACTCTGGTGGCTCAGCTCGTCATCACCGGCCTGGCTGAGATCTTCGTCACCGGCGCCTTCCTGGCCAAACTGGCTCGGCCCAAGAAGCGAGCGGAGACCATCAAGTTCAGCCATTCGGCGGTGATCTGCCGCCACCAGGGCAAGCTGTGTCTGATGGTGAGAGTGGCCAACATGAGGAAGAGCCTCCTAATCCAGTGCCAGCTGACTGGAAAGCTGCTTCACTCGAATGTGACAGAGGAAGGTGAGAAGACTCAAGTGCACCAGAGCTCGGTGGATTTTTACATGGACTCCAGCAGCCAGTGCCCCTTCCTCATCCTGCCTCTCACCTTCTACCACGTCCTGGACGAACGCAGTCCGCTGAAAGGACTCACCGCGGAAAACCTGCTCACCAGAGATTTCGAATTGCTGGTCACCCTCAACGCCACCATGGAGTCGACGGCGGCCACGTGTCAGAGCCGAACCTCCTACGTGCCCCAGGAGATCATGTGGGGCTTTGAGTTCAAGCCGGTGTTGTTCAGCACCAACGGGGGGCGCTACGTGGCAGATTTCAACTTTTTTGACAAGGTGCAGGTGAGCAACGATGCAGCCTTCAGCAACAACATGGAGAAGCTGAAACTGGAAGAGGACTATAAGAAGGAGTAAAAGACTTGTGTATTGTCATGAATGCTGAGGCTCCACCAGTTTACCGACTCAGTTCATCCTCACAGCCATAAACCTTGATTCAAACACTGTTTTTGTGTCATATGATGTCAAAAGTTTGGTTTTATTGTTCAACAACAATTAAATTTTCAGGCAAACTGGAAACCTGACATAAAAATACTTTTTTCTGCACATCCTAATTACACATTTGATCGTTCTGATGTTTTTTGTTTTGTTATATTTTGCGTGGACACACAGAGATGAAACTGAAGTGAGGTTTGTCTTAGCAAATATGATGCTTCACTGTTGCTGAATTCGAAGGTCGAACAATTTGTACATGGCACTATTTCTGGAAAACAGGTGTGAACTTTTTTTTTAAATTACTGTGCTGTAACATAGACATATAGATAGATTATGATATATAATATTACAGTTGGCAGGATGACACATAGGGGCTGATAAATATGTAACATAGAGGTTGATTAAAATTATTCACTTGTTTTTTGTTTTTTTTTAAATAAAAGTTTCTTTGTTTAGTAAAAATGAATGTGTTCTGTTTCTTTTAAATATAATACTCCCAGTGCATTCTGGGATAGCGTGTTGTACCCATTGACCCTGTATAGGAGGCGCAGGAAGTACATTTACTCAAATACTGTAATTAAATACAACTTTGAGCCACAAACAACAGCTTATATGTTTTTGAATTTCAGAGGTAAGTATATCGTATATACTTTAATTAATATGACAGCTGTAGCTCGTAGTTACTTTGCAGATTGCGATGTTTTACACAAAAATATTGTTTGTCTCTATTAATCAGTTTGGTGTTTGATCTATATAGCATCAGTAACTTGTGAAAAATATTGATCTGTGTTTCCCAAAGCCCAAGATTAAGCTAGAATCAGAAAATTTTGAGTTTTTAATTCTAAAAACATGACTCAAACTGACCGATTGAATCAAAATAGTTGGTAATTAATTTATTAGCTCACAACTAATGGATTGATTATTACACCTCTAATCAATAATAATCATTGATGTAATATGTAGCATCTGAATGCTGCCATTCTGCAAAATTAGAATTATCCACCACTGCACGGTAATATCTGGTTTATAGAGCAAAGACTGAAAGACGAAGGCAGCTGGCAGCCGTAAGGCCTCAGTTGTTGGTAGATGTCAGCTTGTGTTGTGGAAACAGTGTGCAGCAGCCAGTGAGCTCAAACTGGCTGCTGGCGACTGTATCTGGTCTAAACAATCTTTCAGTCCAAAGTTGCTGATCTTTTACCATCAGAGACAAAGAAGCAACACTTCAATCACCTGGAACTTTACCAGAAACTATTAAAACCTGTCTGAAGGCTGCAGTCCTGGTGTCAGAATATGTCGTAAAATAATGTGATTACCACCAGTGAGTTGTGTTTTTATGAACTCTGTGAGCCATATATTCTATAAATATTTATTTACATGATCCTTAATCCAACATCCCTTCATATTCAGAGAAGATGAAAGCACAAATGTCAAAAGTGTGAAATGAATTTATTGGTAAAGAGGAACACTGGGAAGTTTAATTAGTGCATCAGCAGTTAAAATGCATTGTTCAGTATTCATCTCAAAATGTTCCTGCTGGAAGGTGCATGGCTGACTTTAAGAGCCTGTTTTTAATACAGATTATTAGAGCCTTGATTGTTTGAGGAAATATTAAGAGCTTTTCCGTAAGTAGAAGCACCAATGCATCAAAAAAATACTCCATTATTACCATTATATTGCCACTGTTATACTGATCATTTATTTTTTTTAGTTTGCTGACATAAGCTTTATTTTAAACTCTTTTATAAACTGCTACAACCAAAAATACTTTTCTGAATACTTTCTTGACCCTGTCCCAGTGATCAGGCCTCAGTGTGACTCAAATTATTACACTTATGAAGTATTTTGTAACCTAAATATAAAGATTTGCTCCATAAAGATCATTGTTGTTGTTGTTGTTGTTGTTATTTGGCCTGTCTTTGAAACAAACCACTGGACTGATGAGGGTCTAGCACAGAATATAAATGTGTTTCAGCAAGTCCGTGTGTGTTAGAGTCAGTTTGAAACTGGGAAATAATTTAGTTCTTATTCATTTCTTATTTTATTTTTTGTTGTGTGGTGGAGGCAGATGTATCAGAACCTGAGTGCACAAACAAAAACAATTTTTTGGCGTGTGTTTGGTAGAAAACAGGAACTTCCATATAATGTTATTTGATGTTTTAAAAAATAGATATTTTTCATTTCTAAGACACTTCACTTCCTTTGCCTTTTCCTGGCTTTTATTTTGAAGGAGATTAACTTAGATTTTATTATGAAGGACTCCGCTGGTAGTTGTCGCTACAAACAGGAGAGAAGTTAAGCTAACAGATGTAAAAACTAACGCTGCTCTGTTTGTTTGCTTATTGTTTTAAAGAAGACGGAGTCTGGAGCAGCAGAGCATCAGTTTAAGTGTCAGACATGAGCGTCACGTTGGATATAAGACTGAAACGAGCCAACAAAGTTTATCATGAGGGGGTGAGTCTGTGCGTTCACCCAGCCAGCTAGCAAACAGCTAACCTAGCCTGTTCAGACAACCTTAACATTAACCTCTCTGCCTTTATTGTTAACCTAACTGTCATTTAACCAGTGTTTTATAACCGAACCAACAAGCTAACTTGGTAGCTAGTTAGCTCGCTAGCTACGAGGCGTCTCCGTCACATGACCAGCCGCTGGTTGAGGAGGTGTAGCGGCTGTCAGATTTTGGTCCTCCACTGAATCAGCTCCAGGAAAAAAACATTTATGGTGGAAATTGTGCCTATCACAGTGAACAATGTGTGAGGTAACAGCTATTAAACAGTGTGAGGACATCGTAAAAACATAAAACAACCGCTGCCATGACTGATAATGTTTGGGGTGCTGCTAATACTGCTGATACTGCAGTCATTAGTTCTTGTACCAGTGCTGTTACTACAAATACTACTGGTGCTAGCTTAGTCTGCTACTACTGACACTATTGCCACTTCTGCTGCTGCTACCATAACTGATGCTAGTACTAGTAAAATACCCATAAGAGTAATGTAAGAGGAACTGCTTCTACTAGACTAATATATACTACACTTCTGCTGCTGTAGCTGCTAGACTAGTTTTACTACCAATACTGTTGGAAAACCTCAATCTACTGGCACTATTATCACTTCTAATGCATACTATTACTACCACAATTAATGCTACTACCAGTAAGATATCTGTTACTGTCAGAAAACCTCCATCTGCTGGCTTTATTGTCACTACTAATGCTACAAGTGCTATTATAACTGGTGCTACTACGGCCATTAAAATATCTGTTTCTCTCAGAAAAACTGCAACTACTGTCACTATGTCTATGTATAAATAGTTGTACTACCAGTAAAATACCTATTACTGTTTGTAAAACCTCTGACACTGGCACTATTATCACTTCTGTAACTGTTATTACCACTATAACAAGTTCCATTACTGGTAAAGTACCTCTAATTGTTGGAAAAACTCCATCTACTGGCACGATGATCAGATCTACTGCTGCTGTTGCTGCTATTAAAATTAGTGAAAACACCTATTACTGTCAGAAAAAACCCTGCTATTGACACTATTATCACTCTTCCTGCTACTAATGCTGCTGTGATTAATGCTACTACCAGTAAAATACCTACAACTGTTTGTAAAACCTCTGGTACTGGCACTATTCTCACTTCTGCTGCTACTGATGTTACTACAATTAGTGCTACTACCAGTAAAATACCTACAACTGTTTGTAAAACCTCTGGTACTGGCACTATTCTCACTTCTGCTGCTACTGATGTTACTACAATTAGTGCTACGACCAGTAAAATACACATTACTGTTAGAAGAACTGCTGCTACTGGCATTATTGTCACTTCTCCTGCTGCTGTTGTTACTATACCTACTACTGCTACCACTGAAATACAGATTACTGGGACAAAACCTCCATCTAGTGGCACGATTGTCACTTCTGCTGCTTATTTTGCAACTATAGCTACTGCTCCTACCAGTACAATACCTATTACTGTTAGAAAAACTGCTACTACTGGCATTATTGTCACTTCAGCATCTGCTTTTGTTACCATAAGTAGTGCTACTGCCAGTGAAATGCTTAATACTGTAAGAATAACTCCATCGTCTGGCATTATTGTCACTTTCACTGGTGCTGTTGTTACTGTAACTAGTGCTACTGCCAGTAAAATGCTTATTGCTGTCAGAAAGCCTCAGTCTATTAGCATTATTGTCACTTCTGCTGGTGCTACTACAGCCACTACTACTAGCAGCAAAATGCTTGATATTGTCAGAAAACCTCCATCTATTGGCACTATTGTCACTTATACTGCTGCTCTTGCCATTGTACCTACTGCTATACCTGCATCAAAATGTGATCTTTATGTGTTAAATAGAAGCTAATATATGGTTATCAGTTTATTTAAACATCTAAACATGAATACTGATTTTGAGAAATGTGTCTAGTGTCAGTCTGTCTGTTGTGCGCTTTCGATGGTGTCTCGCGTTAAGGCTGCATCTCATGTTTTAAATCTGTTACAGTGTGAACATTGATGTGTCACAGATGCTGTTGCTGCTGTTGGTGTTTGTTTACGGACTGAGCTGTGATCAAACTGGAGTAAAAGCAGCCGCATTAATCGTGATTTTAAGGAACTGAACTTGTGCCCATCGACCTCCAGCAGCAGACAGAACCTCAGTGTGTTGCTTTGTCTGCAGGAAGCGGTGACCGGTGTCATCGTGCTGGTGTGTAAGGAGGCGCTGCAGCACCACGGCATCACCCTGAACATGGAGGGGCTGGTGAACCTGCAGCTCAGCTCCAAGAGCGTCGGCGTCTTCGAGGCTTTCTACAACTCTGTCAAGGTGAACAAGATGGAGAGTAATTTCTTCTCTTCAGAATGTTAAGATCACAACTCACTGATCCTCGAAGAATTCAGTTTCATCGACATAAGGACAGAATAGAAGTGATAAAACAAAATAGGACAAAGCAGCAGAGAGTAAATACTTTCTAGCGTTTAAACAATCAATCAATCGAAATTAATCAGCAGAGCAGTAAAATGTCCAAAATGTTCTGGTTTTGACTTCGTAGTTTACTGAATATCTGACAAATCAACACAATTGAATGCGTTATCTCAAACTCCTCTTTTCTAATATTGTCTAGGCTGAACAGTGACTTCATTAATTTGTTATCAAAATTTTAATTAAGATTATTATCAGATTAATTAGTAATGAAGATAAATACTAGCTACAGTCCTTATCCTCACTGTATGATGATAAAAAATGCTGAAGAGTGTGGATGCAAGGTCTGAAACTAACACTGTATTTTTATTATAAATTATTCTACCTATGTTAATATACTTTTGAGCAATAGAATAGAATAGAATACTTTATTGATCCCCCATAATAACTGGGTCTGCATACATCATGACTAATGACCTAAAATCTAAAAGTCCAAGGTGACATCTTCAAACCAATTGTGTAAGAAGAGGGGAAAAAAATCTATATTTTAATGAACATAATTAATATTTTTGCTTGATAAATTACTTAAACAATCAGCTGATCAGTTTGTGGTTTAATTGTTTCTCTAGTTGTTACACTCAACATGCATACTGCAGGATAACAGACTTGTGTTTTTACCTTCTGTGGGGTTTTTTTGTTTTGTTTTTTTAATATAAATCAAAACAGTCTGCATGCAGGTGCTTTCAAAGACTGTAAAGGTGGAGAATAATTTGACACTTGTTATAATTAACAGCATTTTGACATCAGCTGGTTGTCCGTCATGAATCTTTAAATGAATCAGACTATTATAAACCTCAGCAGGATGTCAAACTAAGAATCCCAATCCCAGTAAATCTGTCTACACACTGCACATTGCTGCTGATATTAACCAGACTGTAATGTGCTTCAGCCCATCCAGCTGATCAGCAGCAACATCGAAGTGGCCAAAGCAGGAAAAATCCCAGGAGGAAAGACTGAGATTCCCTTTGAGTTTCCTCTGCAAACAAAAGGAAACAAAGTGCTTTACGAGACCTACCACGGTGTGTTCGTCAACATTCAGGTGAGTTTGAATCTTATGTTGAACCTGCTGGTGAACGCGTGTTGTGATCAGGTGCGCAGGAATTCAGGATATGAAACTTAAACACCCGTAGTTCCTTTTGTTTTGTTTGAAGAAAACAGGAATATACCATGTCACATTTTAGTTGTAGTTCATTTTGTGTTCACGCTGCCTTTTCACAAATAAATTAAACTTACCCAACAAGATGTCACACAGACTTACAGGTAGCTCAGTTGATTGGACAGTTTTAGGGGAAATCTCCTGCATCACTGATGGTGTATGGACCTACATCAGGCAATTGTGGCCCTTTGCTAAACCGCACAGGTTTTATAAGAAGGACCTTTATTTTTCATGGCATATATTTACATTGTTGTAACAATACTCGTGTTAGTAAAGGATCACAGAAGTACGTTCTGCCAGTAAAGTGTCTGTTTTCTGCTCAGTACACCCTCCGCTGTGACATGAAACGCTCTCTGCTGGCCAAAGACCTGAGCAGGAACTGTGAGTTCATCGTGCACTGTCAGGTGAGTAAAGCACGTCTGGTTTAGATGAGCTGCTGTGATTGTGTAAATAAGAAAGTTTTGTTTTTGTTTCAGTCATACAACATTGTATCCTGACAGGATTTCTGTGGGTATATGAAGGTTCAAAGCATACCGTCAGAGTGTTAAAGCAGTAAAGTCATACAGTCAGATTGAGAACATTTTTGGTTATCAGTCTTTCAGAGGGTTTGTTTCATTTCATTTCTACTTAACTAAACTGCTGTTCGACGTTTTAAATCTGATGTTGCTAAAACTTTTGTAGATTAAAGGTTTATTTCACCTTTTTTCTCCACCATAAACTTCATTGCAGCTTCTGTAAATCCCAACTCTGCTCTTTTGTTTATTACAAACACCACATGTGGAATCTAAACATTTGAACCTGTCCTGGAATAATCTTGACCAGTACACCTCATCTGAGATTAGTTTTCTAGCCTTTGGACACCTGCATTGACACGACAGAAGTTTGGGGAAAAAAGTTTTCTGCAGTTTAGAGATTTTGAAGGCCTACTTCATGTGTGACTGTGACATTTTCTGGAAGTGCACGTCCTAGTCATATGCAGCAAGCTCTTCATAAACTCAAATAAAAATGTTATTCGTGTTGAACTGTGTGGAATCAGATGTTGTTTGATTTTCAGCCACAGAAAGCTAAAGTTGTCCCCACTGCGGTCAACTTCACCATCACTCCTGACACACTGCAGAACATCCGCGACGTGAGAAAAACATATCACATATTCCTAATTCTATTTCTTGATTTAGTTGTAATTTAAAGCTGTACCAAGAGTAAAAACTTTCCTTCTGTCTTCAGAGGAATGTCCTGCCAAAGTTTCTGATCAGAGGCCACTTAGACGCCACAAACTGTGTGATCAGCCAGCCGCTCACCGGTGAGGTGGTGGTGGAGAACTCAGACGTCCCCGTCAAGAGCATCGAGCTGCAGCTTGTACGAGTGGAGACGTGTGGTAAGTTCATGCCGTGAGGTCATTACGTTAAACTTCATTTCGTAGCAGCGGGTTTTCTAAGCGTCTGCTGTGTTCAGGTTGTGCTGAAGGTTACGCCAGAGATGCCACCGAGATCCAGAACATCCAGATAGCTGAAGGTGATGTCTGCCACGGCCTTTCTATTCCCATCTACATGGTGTTTCCCCGACTGTTTACCTGCCCCACGCTGGAGACGACCAACTTTAAAGTCGGTCAGTGAAACCATCCAGCCAGTTTTCTGTCTTCACACAAATTGATGCTTACTGTGGTAATGCCTCGTCTAATGATGTTACTGTCTGATGATTTTTATCGTACTTAATTGATTGGTTGTTTTGTGTGTAAAATGCCCAAAAAAAAGTTTTTGAAAAAATCAGTTTTACCTAAAACCCAAGATGATGTCCCCAAATGTCTGATTTTGTCCACAACCCAAAGAGGTTAATTTTCCTGTAATAGAGGGAAAAAATGAAAGAAGCTAGAATCAGCATTTTTTTTTCACTATTTTCTGTTTTAAAAAAATTCTCAGACTGATTAATTGGTTATCAAAATTGCTGGAAATTAGTTGACAAGTATGTGACAGCTGTAGTTATTAGTTGTGTTGCTGATTGAGATGTTTTAGACAAAAATATTGTTTGTTATAGACCAAAGTGACTCCAGTAAAATACTACTTACAGCTTCATGCATCTGTAATAGGGCTGCAACTGATGATTATTTCCACTGTTGATTAATGTTGATTAGTCAGTTAGTTGTTTGGTCTGCAAAATGTCAGAAAATGGTGAAAAATGTCAAAGGTGACATCCTCAAGTGTCTGATTTTTTTCCACAGTTCAAAGAAATTCAGTTTACCATCATAGTAGAGGAAGGAAACCAGAAAGTACTGACATTTAAGAACCTGGAGTCTGAGAATTTTAACATTTTCTTTTTCTTAAGAAAAAAAAACAAAACTCAAACCGATTATCAAAATAGTTGGCAACTCATTTAATAGGTAATAACAAATCGATTATTGTTGCAGCTCTAATACACAGAAGCCCACATGATTGTGTTTCAGGATGTCTTTGACCCATAAAGGATAAGGAAAAGCTTCAAATTATGTCCCATCTGCACAGAAATAGTAACGTTAGCTTTTTTTGTGAGTGGTCGCAGGCACTCTGAAGACAGTATACTCTTGCCAACTATGCATTGTAATGCAGGACGCTGTTTGGTCCTGCAGCAAACACAGTCACTTCTGCTGCTATGTATTCATGACCTGTGGGAACTGAAGTGCTATTGTGACACCATTTTTGTTTCCGTCCTTCAGAGTTTGAAGTCAACGTTGTCATCGTGCTTCATGACGATCATCTGATCACAGAGAACTTCCCTCTGAAGCTCTGCAGAGTCTGAACCTGTACGTCACATCAGCGCTGACTTTGACATCTCACACAACTGTGTGTTTTGAACAACAGAAACTTCCTGCCTTGGTCTAAAGTCAGACAAAGAAATTTTGCTCAAGTGACTCTTCTTATAATGAATTCATTCAATGGAAAAGAACCTGATTTTCCAGAATCCAGATTTTCCTTGAAATGTAGATAACTGTGACCAAAAGTATGTATTTTTTTGTTTGTTTGTTTTTTTGTAAGTTATGTTTCAACTTAATTAAAATCTCTTTTTTGAAAGTGCATTCTGAATTTTTCATTCCTTGCAGACCATGATCATTATCAGTGGCTTATTACATGTGACACTTAAGTTAGTTTGACTTCATTTAATGCTCTGCTCATTTGGACATTGTTCAAACTTTGACATTTGTGTATTTTGGAAGCACTTTACAACCTACCTACATACTGAGGAACCATTTTAAACCCTCCATCACAGGACTGCATGACTACAGACCACTGGCTCTGACATCTGTGGTCTTGAAGTCGTTCGGGAGACTGATGTTGAGCCACCTCAGGTCCATAGTAGGTCCTCTGCTGGACCCCCTGCAGTTTGCCTGTCGGGCAAACAGGTCAGCAGATGATGCAGTCAATCTGTGGCTGCACTACATCCTGCAACATCTTGATGGCCCTGGGAGTTATGCAAGGATCCTGTTTATGGGCTTCAGCTCGGCTTTCAACACCATCATCCCTGAAATCCTCTCCACCAAACTCTCCCTCCTCAGTGTGTCTCCATCCATCTGTCAGTGGATCA